AGATCTCTCCCAAGTCCAGTCTGACTTCAGTACTCCTTCTCCAATGCTCTAGAACACTGTTTCCATACCCCTCATTAAAGCAAATATCATACTATATTCTAATTGCTTGATTGCAAATCTACCTCTACACCAGACTGCAAATTCCCTGCGAGCAGAGACTTGTCTTTCCACTGAGGTAGACACAAGATCCTACACATGGAAGGCACTTAGAAACTGGAAATTCCTTTACCCCTCTTCATCTCTGAGGATCTCTTAATCAATGGCCAAAGTCTCCTGCTCTGGGTCTCCACCCTTTCTTCCCATTGTCAATGCTGACTACTACTTCCTCTGATCTAATTTCTGAAAACAGCTAAATCCTGGCCCAGCAGACACATGAAGATTTGGAAAGACACAGCAGGGAAGTCAGGAAAGAGAGACCAGTAAAATTCCAAATTCTATACATACCCCACTGACTATCTTTTGTTAACCTTCTGTTTCCTTGCAGCAATAAACATCAAAGCTTGAAAAAGAGAAAGAGCCTGTGTGCTTGTTTTCAAGTGAGCAAGGAAGGAAAGGTAGGGAGAGTATACCCCACTCACTCTCCACTTCCTGGGGACAGAGGTAGGTGGTAGCTGCTTCACAGAAAAAAAGAAACTACTGAGGACCTAGGAACACTGACAAAGCAAAAACAGCCCCCAGTTCAGAGAAGGTCTTCTTGTGGTTCTCACACTGTTTCAGAGACAACAGTGCCCCTTCCCCTTTAGGGACTTTACCAGTCTATCAGAATTCCTAACATGTTAGCTATGGCTGCTTATCTGCCATTCCTGCCTTTCTTCACTGATATTGGGAACTCAAAACTCCTCTTTTGGCACCAAAATATTTTTCTCTCTTTTTTCATTTGAGTAAAGTGGGTATTGGAGAATATGCTGTATTGGGATATGCTGTAGCACAATGAAGTAAGCTTCTCCTGAAACAGCAGTATGAAGAGGCCCACATGTGCCCACTATCTCTCCCTGCCCCTAAATCCCTCGACACTAATAAGGATAGGTCAGGGAAAATCATACATAAAAGTCTTGCCTAAGACACTCAACTTATACCAATTCTGTTTATTCATTGCATTTCATACTGAAATTTTTATGTGTCATTTCCTTACCCATAGTCACAATGGAGTAGCGCCATCTCCACAAAACAAGCTGAGTAAATCTCTAGGCTTAGAAGAGGACCCTGCAAATATGCTAATAACTGAGAAGTGCAAACAGCACACATTTGCCCACAAACCAGTAGGAAAGAGTCTAGAGTTCACTCAGCTTATATGAGATTCTAAAAAGTTTCTGATTCAGTCATTTTTCTAATCCCACTCATTAAGCTTCCAGAGTTTTTCTGTTTTATTTTTTTTTCTTTTTAGTTTTTCTGTTTTAAAGTTAGATTTAGCTACCATCTTCTTGCCTATCTGAGTTTCCATATAAAATACAGAACACCCAGTTACATTTGTAATTCAGATAAACAACAAATAATTTTTTAAGTTTAAGTACGTCCCAAATATCACATTGGATATACTTATACTGAAAATTCATTCATTATTTATCTGAAATTCAAATATAACTGGGTGTTTTGTGTTTTGACACTGATTATTTTCCAAGAATATAAAGGATATCTAAATAGAATAAGGTGGAATGGAAACAAGTTCTGGGTAAGCCACAAGTATTTCTCAATCCTTGCACAGTCTGGATATTCAAGTTGTATTGATTATGGCCTTATTGTTTCTTCCACCTGGTTTGGTTTGAAGGTTTGCAGAAAAATGAGGCATTTTTTAATGAACCTAAGCTAAATATTGATTCAAGGAGTGAATGCAATTCCAATTAAATTTTTATCAATACAAACTTAGCTCACTTTCCAATATGTCTTTTAAAACAGCTTGCTGAACCAAAATATATTTTAGATGGATTCCTTTTGTAAAAAACATTTTAAAAGAACCTGTTTAAGGAGAGTGACCAGCACTCTGTTTTTTCCTGAGAAAAACAGATTAGAGGGACACCTGGGTGGCTCAGTGGTTGAGCGTCTGCCTTCAGATCAGGTTGTAATACCAGAGTTCTGGGATCGAGTTCCACATCAGGCTCCCTGCAGGGAGCCTGCTTCTCCCTCTGCCTGTGTCTCTACCTCTCTCTCTGTGTCTCTCATGAATAAATAAAATATTAAAGAAAAACAGATTAGAAGTCCCAGTCATAATTTTTTCAAATGGTCATATTTGTGACCTGAACAGGTTACTAAAGTTTGCAACTGGAACATCGATGAGTGCACTGGGAGTTGGAATCTCCTTTCCACAACCAGAAAATAACAGTAACAGAGTCAGAGTCAGAAGAAGTAGAAGTAGTAGTAGTATACTGTTATAGTAGTTTGGGGAAGAATTGGAGAAGGGAAGGATATAACTTCATCTTTGGTGTCCTAATGTGTCCAATGTGTGACAAGTCTGCAAGCCCACAGCTACTTGGAGTTGGTTCAGAATTCAGATACAGGAAGACTTCTTTCTGCAGACTGCCAAGTCATAGCCACCAGGCTCACCTAAACCGCAAAATAACAATGGCTCAAAGAGCTCACGTCTTCCATTTCCTACTTAGGTTTACTCATTCTTTATCTCAAGAAATAGGAGCATGCTAGGCATTAGGCATAGAGCTGGTATAGAGTGAGAAGACAAGACAGCACAGGCCCTGTTTTACACATCTCAGAGTGTAGGATAGGAGGCAGAAAATGTTAACAAGTAAATAAGCAAGACTAAATTCTGATGGCTGTTCTAAAGGAAAGGAGGGTGCCACAAGCAAGGAAATAGGAGAGACCTACTTCAGATGGCACTAAAGTTCAGAGAAAGGCTCCCCAGAAAGGATACATTTAAGGAATACATTAAAAAAGACTTGGAGGAACCTAAAAAATCAAACAAGAACCAAGCAGGCAACAACCAAAGACAGTATCAGAAGAAAAAAGGCAGTGTCAATGCAGGCAGGAGCCCCAGGGCCTGCCAGGATGGGACTAAGGCCTTTCTGGCTGCAGCCTTATAGGAGGTTAAGGCCCTCGTGGGATGCTGTAAAGGTTTGGGTGGGAAGGGCTTTAAGCAAAAGTGAAATTCCTGATTGCCCAGAACAGAATGAATTCTGAGAAAGTCTAGGGCAAGAAAGATATTCCAACAGCAATTCTCTGACACCAATTGGGCATTCTGCAATTCAATTCAGTTTTCACACTAACTACCTAGAGTTAGTGCAGACCCCACAAGTTAAGAGCAAAGTCATTCACAAGACTGCCCCCACTTCAGATCCCAGCTGCAAAGCTTGGAGACCATCTGCACTTCTGACAAACCAGCTATAAATTTGAAGTTTTCCATGACCCTCTAGTTCAATAATTCATTAGTATGACTTTCAGAACTCACTAAAAGCACTATACCTACAATTTTAGTTTTATCATAAAAGATACAGATCAGGATCAGCCAAATAGAAGAGGAGCACAGGAAAAGCTCTTGATGGAGAGGAAACAAAGAGCTGCCATGCTCTCTCCTCATGGAATCCAGGTATGCCACCTTCCAAGAACATTAATGTATTCACCAACCAGGAAGCTCCATTGAGCTCCAGGAAGCAGTTTTATTGGGGTCTTACTGTGTCATTGGCCACATGATTGGACTCAGTCTCTGGACTCTCTCTGTTCACTAGAGGTTGAAGATGGAACTGAAAGTCCCAACCCTCTAATCACCTGCTTGATCTTTCTGGTGTGGCTAGCCCCTCCTCTGAAACTATCTAAGGGCCCACCAGGAGTCACCTCATTAGCATAAACTCAGGTATAGTCTAAAGGAACTCTTTTTGAATAACCAAAGATACTCCAATCATTCAAGAACTTACAAGAGTTTTTGAAACTCTGCAAGGAACCAGAGAAAAAGACCTGATATATTCTTTATTATACCACAATAAGAGACAGGAAAACTAGGTGGGTGACCGGTAATATTTAGCAGTTAAAAACTAAAAGGAGGGGCACCTGGATGGCTCAGTAGGTTAAGCGTCCAACTCTTGATTTTGGCTTGGGTCATGGTCTCAAGGTCATGAGATCAAAGTGGGGGGGGAGGGTCTGCACTCAGCAGGGAGTCTGCTTGAGATTTTCTCCCTCTGCCCCTCCCCCCTACTCCTGTGCGCGCGCACACACACACACACACACACACACACACTCATTTTCTCTAAAATAAATTAATAAATCTTTTTAAAAACCCAGAAAACTAAAAGGAATCTGGCCTTATTTTAGAAGTGTCCCACACAGAAGAGATAATGGAATAGGAGAAAAATATTTAAAACTTAAAAGGGAACCAGAAATCATTCCAAGGAAAAAACAAGGCATTGCTTGCATCTCTTGTGCATTAAATGAGACATGCTTGTTTTGATACTGACACAATACAGCCTACAAAAGAAAGAACCTTTTCTAATATAGCGTTTTTATTTTACTCTTAAAAATAACAGCACTGATCCTTCCAGATGTTTGTGCTGGGAGATTCAATTCTAGGACTTCCCTGCCAAGAGCCCACAGAAATTTCCCTTCAGTCTTTCAGGGAAGTTATTCTATATTGCTATCTAATTCCATGAGCAAATTCCCTGTAACTTCTTTTTTTTTAATTTTATTTATCTATTCAAGGGAGAGGCAGAGATACAAGCAGAGGGAGAAGCAGGCTCCATGCAGGGAGCCGGACGTGGGACTCGATCCCCGGTCTCCAGGATCACACCCTGGGCTGAAGGCGGCGCTAAACCGCTGAGCCACCTGGGCTGCCCCTCCCTGTAACTTTTTAATTAGCATAAAATTCACAGAAGAAACAATTAATGAATATTTGTGAATTATTTTATGAACACAAAGATAAAGAACGGAACATAAACAACTTGGCATTGACTCTTTTTAAACTGACACAGAAGAACCGGACTGATTTGAACATGACACAGCAGCCAGGATTTGGGAGGGCCTCTGGTATTTCGTCACAGCCTGGCTGGGAGGAGGGCTGGAGCTCATTAAGAAAACGCCTGAGTACAAAGGCCTACATCGCAGTTCCGTGCTTCCTGGAACTTGGGAGGGCAGAGCTGTAGCTGCTTTCTCCTTTGACTGACAGCCATCCCCAACTGTCCAGGAAGAATTTGCAGTCTGAATTTTGCATTGCCTGTGCAATAACAGAAGTGCAGCTTTGTGCTGACTGAGCAGTAACATTTTATCTGGAGCACTACTCTGATTTCTGACACTAACGGCCTTAAACAAAATGGAGGATTTTAAATTTGATGGAACAACACGCCTACCTGTCGCTTATGTGGAGGGGATTTTGCAACCCACACCTACCTGTGACATCTGGGACCAGATCTGGAATTTCCAAGCCAAGTCTGATGATCTGCTTATTGCCACCTATCCTAAAGCAGGTAGGTGAAAGGGGAGAGGGGAAGGTGGGGAAGAGAATTAGGAAGGTGAGTTATGAAAATACACTACTAACGAAATGAAGAAACTGATCTGGGTTGGAAGGTTGTTTACTGGACAGAGTGATATGGCTAAGACAAATCACTTGTGGAAACTGAAACTAGAGGAAAAAAAATATTAAAATGACATGTGAAGGGCAGCTGGGGTGGCTCAGCTGTTTAGTGCCTGCCTTCTGCCCAGGGCACAATCCTGGAGACCCAGGATTGAGTCCCACATCGGGCTCCCTGCAGGGAGCCTGCTTCTGTCTCTGCCCATTCTCTGCCCACCCCCCTCTGTCTCTCAGGAATAAATAAATAAAATCTTTAAAAATAAATAAAACAAAATAAAATGACATGTGAAATTTTAAGAATTTAATTCTTCCTGTGATGTACATATTTTTTTACTTCCCCAGGAGAGAGTGACTCAAACAGCCAAGAACTAACCGGCTAGATTTGTTGATTTGTTTGTTCCCGATGCAGGCTGTTATTGCAGATCCTGTAAAAAATAGCTTTGTGTGTGTAAGCTACAAAGGGGATCCCAAGGCCAACTTGGGGAACAATTAGGGGAGCTTTGGTCCTGCAAAGCTGATTTCACTTCAGCAGCCTCCAGAAGCCCCCAAAGACTCCTCAGGGTTTGAAAACTACTTTTTTGATTTCCATCTTCCCTTGGGGTATGTTGTGAACCTACTTCCTTATTTCAATAATCAGTTTAACAAAAGTTGCTATAGAAGTCAGACTTCTTGACTCGTATTATATTAACACAATACATAAATTAAAAATGTTTTCTGAGTTGCACTATAAATCTAGCTTTAAAATTCAGAGAGATGTTCTAGCAAATATGATCATATTTTAAGAAATGTAGTATACTAAATGTCTACGCATCTTCATCTTACACGTGGAATAAGGAACAACATGGACTCAGGAGATAGTGGACTTAATACAAAATGAAGGGGATGCTGACAAAAGTCAAAGAGCACCTATTCATGAACGAATTCCTTTCATTGAATGGATAATCCCATCCATTGGATCTGGTGAGTATGGAATAACCACGCTTGACTAAATACACACCTGGGATTTTTACTATCACATAGCCCTCTCAAAATCCTAGGCATTCAAGCTGAAAAAAGTTATAGAAAAGATATAAGAATTGATACAGCCACTTCAAAAAAAAAACTAGAAAACAATTAAATTCTAGGCATTCAAATAATTAGTAATGAATTCTGTGACTGCATTTTTTTAACTATGTTTGGCCATTGCTGTACTCCAGACATCTTCTAGTGGAATTACTACTTATATAAAAGTACATTAAGTTTTTATTCTCTATTAGAAATTAATTTTAGGGGCACCTGGGTGGCTTAGTGGTTGAGCAGCTGCCTTCATCTTAGGTCGTGATCCCGGGGTCCTGGGATTTAGTCCCACTTTGGGCTACCCACAGGGAACCTCCTTCTCCCTCTGCCTGTGTCCCTGCCTCTGTGTGTGTGTGTGTGTGTGTGTCTCATGAATAAACAAATAAAATCTTTAAAAAGAGAAATTAATTTTATTCCACAAGGATGAGCCCAAGTAAGATAATTTCATAGTGGAAGGGTTTGAATTTTTTAGGTTCTAAATTATTTATTTTCTTATTTGTTATGTTTAAAAACTATTCTAGCTAAAAAGAAAAGTCATTCTAGGCTAGATATAGTCTTGCAGATCAAAAAACTACAGTTACAGTTCTCTCACAGGTGACTTGAATTGTTCAATTGTTCCTAAAGTAGTGATAATGGAAACAACAAGATTTTGAAGCAAAAAGAAAAAAATAATGGGAAGTAATCAAAAATCGATTTTATAGGTTTGGAAAGAGCTAATGAAATGCCCTCACCACGGACCCTGAAAACACATCTTCCCATCCATTTGCTGCCACCATCCTTCATAGAAAAAAACTGCAAGGTAAAAAACAAAAGGGGGCAGCCCTGGTGGCTCAGCAGTTTAGTGCCGCCTTTGGCCTAGGGCGTGATCCTGGAGACCCAGGATCGAGTTCCATGTCAGGCTCCCCTGCATGGAGTCTGCTTCTCTCTCTGCCTCTCTCTCTCTCTCTGTGTCTCTCATGAATGAATAGATAAAATCTTAAAAAAAAAAAAAAAAAAAGGAATTTCCAGTTTACTCCTTAGAACAACCCTAGAGTGGTCTTCAGCTTCCTCTTAAAACATTTCTCCTGTTAGGGCACCTAGATGGCTCAGTTGGTTAAGCATCTGAGTCTTGGTTTCAGCTCAGGTCATGATCTCAGCATGGTTAAGATCAAGCCCCGTGTCTGACTCCACACTCTGCATGGATTCTCCTTGAGATTCTCTCCCTCTCCCTCTCCCTCTGCCTCTGCCTCTTGCCCCACTTGTACTCTCTCTCTCTCTCTCTAAAAGAAACAAATTTAAAAATCCTAAAAAAAAAAAAAAAAAACCTCTTCGCTTGTTAAAGAAAAGAGAGTCCGGGCAGCCCAGGTGGCTCAGCAGTTTAGCACCGCCTTCAGCCCAGGGCATGATCCTGGGGATCCAGGATCGAGTCCCACGTCGGGCTTCCTGCATGGAGTCTGCCTGTGTCTCTGCCTCTCTCTCTCTCTCTCTCTCTCTCTCTCTCTCTCTGTCTCTCATGAATAAAAAATAAAATCTTTAAAAGAAAAAGAAAGAAAAGAGAATCCATCTTTCACGGCAAACTGATCTGAATCCTTTTCAAATCACACAAAAACCAATATCACAAGAATGCAGCATCAGAAAATCTCATCTGTATGGAATGTATCCACTTGAACATAATTTGTTGGACAATAAGTACATATAAGTCTAATCCCATTTTTGCTTCTTTCCCTCTTTCTGCCATTCCTAGATAATCTATGTGGCAAGAAATCCAAAGGACAATATGGTGTCTTATTACCATTTCCAAAGAATGAATAAATCTCTTCCTGCTCCAGGAACCTGGGAAGAGTATTTTGAGAATTTTCTGGCTGGGAAAGGTAAGAGAATTAATCTTTATTTCCTTCCTCTCTCAAAATCCTCAAACATTCCAAAAGGAAAGTCATTTCCTTATTATGCTGGGGCTCTGCCTGCTTTACTGTGAAGAAATCATCAGTGTGATACTCTCCCTCTCTTTAGGAACTCTCCTTTAAGTGGAGTATCTGTTTGGGGGCTTCTGTGATTCATTGCCCCGTTTTTCATTCCTCCTTGCAGTATGCTGGGGTTCTTGGTATGACCACGTGAAAGGATGGTGGAAAGCCAAAGACCAACACCGCATTCTCTACCTCTTCTATGAGGACCTGAAGAAGGTGAGGGGCAATACCACCTAATGTGTTCCCATTGGACCATAAGACATTTAGGTCATAATGCATGTACCCCACTGGGGACCCACAGATTTGAAACAAGGAATAGAAAACGCTACATTTCATTGGTTACTGCTGTCCATGCATCAAAGCCCACATGGTATGTCATGAGTTTATGTATCACATAGTTTCATCTCCAGCCTCCTGGTGCTCTGGAGAATGGTACATCTTTTCCATACAGGCAAAATTTGAGTGTTACCTTTCCCACATCGGACTCCTTGCGAGGAGCCTGCTTCTCCCTCTGCCTCTGACTCTCTCTCTGTGTCTCACATTAATAAATAAGTAAAATCTTTAAAAAAAAAAAAAGAAAAAGAAGAAAGAAAGAGAGAGAGAGAAAGAAAGAAAGAGAAAGAAAGAAAGAAAGAAAGAAAGAAAGAAAGAAAGAAAGAAAGAAAGAAAGAAAGAAATATTATAGCAGGGAATAGTATGCTGTAAGGCAGGAGTTTCCCTTCCATGAGTAGGTATGACAAACTGAGGAATCCATAGAAGGAAAGGTGCTATTAAACTCAGAATAGGAGATAATGTTTGTTAGATTACTCCTTTCTGCCCCTGGACGCCGCCGAGTAAGCATCGTTAAAGTCTCTCCTCCCACCGCCATCATGTCTAAGTCAGAGTCTTCCAAAGAGCCTGAGCAGCTGTGTAAGCTCTTCATTGGAGGTTTGAACTTTGAAACAACTGATGAGAGTCTGAGGAGCCATTTTGAACAATGGGGAATGCTTACGGACTGTGTGGTAATGAGACATCCAAGCATCAAGTGCTCCAGAGGCTTTGGGTTTGTCACGTATGCCACCGTAGAGGAGGTGGATGCAGCTGTGAATGCAAGGCCACACAAGGTGGATGGAAGAGTTGTGGAACCAAAGAAGGCTGTCTCAAGAGAAGATTCTCAAAGACCTGGTGCCCACTTAACTGTGAAAAAGATTTTTGTTGGTGGCATTAAAGAAGACACTGAAGAACATCATCTAAGAGATTATTTTGAACAGTATGGGAAAATTGAAGTGATTGAGATCATGACTGACCAAGGCAGTGGCAAAAAAGAGAGGTTTTGCTTTTGTAACATTTGATGACCACGACTCTGTAGACAAGATTGTCATTCAAAAATACCATACTGTGAATAGCCACAACTGTGAAGTAAGGAAAGCCCTATCAAAGCAAGAGATGGCTAGTGCTTCATCCAGCCAAAGAAGCTGAAGTGGTTCTGGAAACTTTGGTGATGGTCATGGAGGTGGTTTTGGTGGGAATGACAACTTTGGTCATGGAGGGAACTTCAGTGGTTGAGGTAGCTTTGGTGGCAGTCGAGGTGGTGATGGATACGGTAGCACTGGGGATGGCTATAACGGATTTGGTAATGATGGAAGCAACTTTGGAGGTGATGGAAGCTATAATGATTTTGGCAATTACAACAATCAACCCTCAAATTTTGGACCCATGAAAGGAGGAAATTTTGGAGGCAGAAGCTCTGGCCCCTATGGTGGTGGAGGCCAATACTTTGCCAAACCACAAAACCAAGGTGGCTATGGCGGTTCCAGCAGCAGCAGCTATGGCAGTGGCAGAAGGTTTTAATTACTGCCAGGAAACAAAGCTTAGCAGGAGAGGAGAGCCAGAGAAGTGACAGGGAAGCTACAGGTTACAACAGATTTGTGAACTCAGCCAAGCACAGTGGTGGCAGGGCCTAGCTGCTACAAAGAAGACATCTTTTAGACAATACTCATGTGTATGGGCAAAAAACTCAAGGACTGTATTTGTGACTAATTGTATAACAGGTTACTTTAGTTTCTGTTCTGTGGAAAGTGTAAAGCACTCCAACAAAGGGTTTTAATGTAGATTTTCTTTTTTTTTTTTTTGCACCCATGCTGTTGATTGCTAAATGTAATAGTCTGATCATGACGCTGAATAAATGTGTCTTTTTTAAAATAAATAAATAAATAAATTCAGACTAGGAAAACTCCATGTAGGTGATAAATGTCTACCATATGTAGACATATGGCAAAGTAAGGATATGTCATCAGAAATGACACCCTTTTACTGGAGTACATCCTAATGTATTGTGAATGCTAGAAACTTTATTGCACAGGTAGTCTAACCTCAGAGTCCCTAGATCCCTTTTAAATATTTCTGTGATCATGTTCTGGAATGTCCCCTGACTAGATACTCAAAGCTCAATATTCTCATCACTCTTGCTGATTCCCAGTCTATGTGAGGCCAATTAAATTAAGCACTACTTTTGACATCCAAGCTTTTAAAGCAGAAGACACAGTTTTCAGGCTAAACTTTTCCACTTTCCCTCTCCTACCACTCCTCCTGGAGATAGGGATTTCCCATAGTGATAGCTCGCTAGGGTTGTGTGTCCCTCTGATGAGGAAACATTGGAACTGAGCTCCTCAGTTCCTGGACATGCTAGGTAGTAGACTTACTAGCCATGGGTGCCTCTTGCATATCTCATGGGTGCAAAATAGCCATTTCTCATTCTCTTGCTGCTACTTATTGCCACCACTAAAATGGTCTGGGACATTTTTATCAATGTCAGAATAGAAGACAGGCTTAAATCGTCTGCCCCATGCTCCAATGTCTTTGTTGTTATCATCAGTCTATGGACTCTCTCTGTTAAACATTTGGCTGACCGAGACCCCTCTCATAACTGACTTGTGTGAGACATTTGGGCATAACTCTCAGTGAAACATTCTCCATGCACTGCATGTCATTATATGATGAATTTTTCATGAATACTATTCAGTTTTTGCTTCTATGGTAGAGCAAGAAAAGCTTAGTAATTCCAGCTACTAAAAAAGAGAACAATATGAGCCATCATGTTAAAATAAGTTATTTCTGGATAGCTGAGTATTTGTGAGATAAGATTTTTTTAAGGTTTTATTTACTTATTTATTTGAGACAAAGACAGAGTGCATGAGAGCAGGAGGAAGAAGGATAAAAATCTCAAGACTGCGCTGAGTGTGGAGCGCAACACAAGGCTCAGTCTCACAACCCTGAGATCATAACCTGAGCCTAAATCAAGAGTTGAATGCTTAACTGAATGAACCAATCAGGCACCCCTAAGATTTTTTTTTTTAATTTTAACTCATGACATGTGACTGATTACTGTTATTAATTCATTTCAATATTCTTTTTAAGCCAATTATCTTATACCAAATCTTCACTTTTCTTTTGACTCTCATCATAGAATACAAAGCATGAAATTCAGAAGGTGGCAGAGTTTATTGGAAAAAACCTAGATGATGAAATCCTAGATAAAATTGTCCACCACACTTCATTTGATGTTATGAAGCAGAATCCAATGTCAAACTATTCATCAGTTCCTGCTAAAATCATGAACCACTCTGTGTCTCCATTCATGAGAAAAGGTTTTTATATTTTCTTTTGGTCATAATCTTTAAAGAATCATCCAGTCTTTAACAGCCTTGAGTGAGTTTTCTGTGGCTAAGAAAAATAAGATCTATAACAAATGATTCTGGGAAAACAAGTATTTAGGAAATCAGGAATGAAATGAAAACAATGTTTAGACTATTGAAGAGTGAGGTGCGGTCAAATTCCTTATGCCCCCTTTCCAGAGATCTGGCTAATAAGGTGAAAAAATGTAGAATTAAATCAGATGGAGCAAAGAATCCATTTTATAATAGATTTATAAGGGCTTTATGCTATTGGTTGGATTTATTCATTCAAAAATACTTATTGAGTGGCTACAATGAGTCAGGCTCTATTCTAGATAATGTTCAGTGAACAGTAAACAAACAGAAATTTCTTCCCTTGTGAACATTATATTCTAGCCACAAACAAAATAAACAAGAATACTCAGAATAATATATGATGGTAAGCCCTATGGGAAAAAAACAATCTGCAGAAAGGTAACAGGGATTGCAACTGGAGAATTTGGTGGATCTTTTTTGGTTTTCTTCCTCAAAACTGTACCTTGAGTTTTTCCACATGCAAGCCTTTCTCAGTGGGCCTGTAGATAAAAACTATAGGCATAAGCACCTACCACACTTTGATGTGCAAAGAGGCAGGAGCTAAAAAACAAGAAATTCCCCAGGCCTGTTGTTTTAATTGTGGTAGTTTCATTTCCCCCATTAATGTGACTCAGCAGGTAATGGGATCTCCTTGTCCCACAAATCAGATAAGAAATTATTCTTAACTTTCAGAATGAAATTGACAGGTTAGCAGCAGAAATAATTTGTCTAATATTGCCCCCTTGGAAGGTAGAGTATAAATATTCACACAGAAACAGGAGAATAGAGAAATGCAAGCTGACTCTCTCCCACATAACTGTTTCAGGGATAGTTGGAGACTGGAAGAATCACTTTACCGTGGCTCAGAATGAGAGATTTAATGAAGACTACAAGAAGAAAATGGCTGATACCAATCTAACTTTTCACTTCCAATTCTCATAAAAAAGAAAACAACCAACATTTTTTTAGTTTGTTACCTAATTTACTGGTAATAACCAATAAAACTTTATTACCCACATGATACTGAATTCAGATTCTCAGACTAGCTGTGTATTATATTTGCTCTTGCTCACTCTAAAAAAAATAGGAATAAAGCTAGCAGAGATTGAGCACAAGGTAGAAAGTGGAAGCATGATAGCATGTGGAGGAAGAAGGTTCAATAATTACTAATTACAATCACGGCATCATTGCTGATTATCATAATATTTATGTTTTCGACGGGTCATGTGTTTGTTGACATATTAGAAATGTCTCATTCCTTGTGTAAGAAAACACTAAAGCTTTCAAAGTAAGCATTGGTTCCGGCTAATTTTTCAATGCAGCACTAAAATATGTAGATAGTGACTATCTCTCCCAGAAATTTCTTGGTAGTCAAGTAACCATCAAGTGACTGTTTCCTCATAAAATTTTCTGATTCACTTCAGTGTTCCTCCTATAATACATCTATCCCTATCTCTTACCACATCAAATATACTTAACTCTTTTTCTCACCCCAGTTAATGCTGATTGAGTCTTGGAGTCACATCTTGACTCTTTACGTCGATGGAGTCTTGTTCGTGTAGCCACCCTTCTGTCTCAGAAACGTGTAACCTCTTGCCCATACTAGTATAAGCTTCATAACTCATTTCTCTGTCTCTCACACATCTACCAGGGTTACTTTCCTAAAACAAAATTTCATTATATTTCTCTTTAGCTCTAAATCCTATGCTTTTTTAGCCATCAATTCAAAGGGAGCTATAATGATATGATATGGTAGATCTCACCTTCCAAAACACTTTTCTAGCTTAATTTCACCTTCTAAACCACTTCCATACTTCAGGAAATAAGTCTACTCACTGAGTCCTAATCACATCTTGCAGGTTCCTATCCTACTAGTTTTATTTTTACCATGCCTCCATCTGAAATTTCCTTTCCTTTCTTTCTACCTATCCAAAACATATAACATGCTTCAATAACCAGTTCAAGTAGTTCATTATCCTGAAGATAGCATTTGCTTTTCTGAAGTCCTCTACACTTGGTATAATTCATTTGTCATTGAGATTAAAGTATACTGTATCTCTTGTATGTATGTATTGTCTCTTAAAAGACAATTAAAATTTTTAAATTTATTAAAATTTTTGTTTTTTTCTCCATGATAGAAACATTGCTATGTATTTCATTGCACATCAAACAAAATATGACAAGCACAAAAATAAGTAACTGAAAGAATATATCAGTCAAGGAAATTCTAAAAGCTAACTTTTTATATTTTAAGTAGTCCCTATAATAGCTATCATCTATAGCTTTTGTCCAATATACTAGCTACTAGCCTCATGTGGCTTTTAAATTAACTAAAACTAAATAAAATTAAATTACTCATATTCAGTAAAGTTCGAGTGCTCAGTAGCAACACATGCCTAGTAGCTATCACTTCGACATTATAAAACACTTCTATCCTCAGAGAAAATTCTATTGAATAAGACAATTTATTTTTATAATCCTTTGAATGTGGCATTATTAGAAAACTAAATCCCAATTAGAAAACTAAAACTAAAGTTTAGAGATATTAGTTAAGTTACTCAAATAAGAAATACTAACATTTAAGTTCAAACACAGCTCCAATGGTTCCAAAACCTGAATAGAGTCTCCCTTCCTGTTCTTGCCACAGACTCATCATAGATGCATCATGATCCTGTCTAACTAAAGGCTACCCAACCCAGATTCCAACCCAAAAACAACCAGACTGGCATCAAACTGTCCGTCATCCCCCATGATCAAGTGAAACTTAACAATAGTCAACTGAATAGCTGAAGCATTCCCACTGTCTAAATGCTCTGAAGTAGACAGAGCCCTAAGCCAACAATAGCCTCCCACTTGACATCCACAGCATATGTCCAGTCTAAAATTTGTCCCTTATACCTTTATATCTCTTAGGTTTCTCATGAAACTGGGCATAATTTCTGCAGGCCCTTATCTGAATTCAGTGCCTTCTGTGGCTGTGTTCAGTTCTCCCCCACATACTATCACTCCCCCAAGACACCAAAATCCATGCCCTGCCCTGTTGCCTCACACAGACAGCTCAGGGTAAGGGAGCTTGTGCTCAGTCCATGGCCCTTGGACTTTTGACATTGCACTCAAGGTGCTACCTCTTATTTTCCTCCAAATCACCTATATATTCTTGGCAGGCAAAATCAATCTATATTTTGGTTACCTAGACCTAGCCCCAAACAGAACTCAAACTAGCCTTAACTTGGCTTCTCCCCTTTCAAAACTAGTGATTAGCACATTATGTTACAGATCTAGTCAACATTATTTCCATTTCAGCAGAAAATTACAATAATGCATCTAGGTTTTGTAATCCTACCAATACAGAGTGCACATTCTGTGTGTGTGTGTGTGTGTATGTGTGTGTGTGTGGTTTTTTTAAGAGAAGAAACAGGAGGGACAGAGGAAAAGCGAGAGAAAGAATCTTAGGCAGGCTCCATGCCCAATGCAGAGCCCAGCATGGGGCTTGATCTCACAACCCTGAAATCATGACTTGAGCATAACCAGGCACTCCACACATTCTGTATTTTATCACACATGTGCAATAACCTTTGACTCCTGTGGAGGAAGTTTAGGTTTGAACTCAAGAAAATATTAGAGAAAATCAAACTGCGTGTATAGAGATGTAAGAAGTAAAACAGCTTTAAAAAATCAGTATTATAATTCTATGTAAAACATTAAAAAGAACACATATTCTTAGCAATGTTAAGAGATAATTTGGTGGGAATGAATCCTATTGCTACCTGGCTCCTATTAGTAAAGTACCAATAGAAACACAATTTAAAAATAAGTACATTTCAGCAGACCCTGGGTGGCTCAGTCAGTTAAGCCTCCAACTCTTGATCTCAGCCCAGCAGGGAACCCTCTTAAAAATAATAATAATGAGGGGATCCCTGGGTGGCTCAGCAGTTTAGCGCCTGCCTTTGGCCCAGGGTGCGATCCTGGAGTCCCAAGATCGAGTCCCACGTCAGGCTCCCAGCATGGAGCCTGCTTCTCCCTCTGCCTGTGTCTCTGCCTCTCTCTCTCTCTCTCTCTCTCTATGTCTATCATAAATAAACAAATCTTTTAAAATAATAATAATAATAATAATGAAAGAAAAGGAAAGAAAGAAAAAAGCATTTCACACCAATTCAAACTTAAATCCTGTGCTAGAGAAATAAAAACTCACCCTGGGATTAAAAACACCACAATAAAATAGTAAATTAGAAAGTAAATGGTTTCTATCTCTCCAGACTCAAAGAACTAATGATAAAGGTAATACACTTTGAAAGCCAGATTGAAGGATGCTGAGAACAACTTACCACAGCATCAGAGAGGTTACATTATGAAAGATACCAAGGTGAGCAAGAGGTTACAAGTCCTTAATTAAAAAAAAAAAAAAAGACAAACCACTTTAACTGGGAAACAAGACAGAGAAGTCTTATTCCCAGAAAAAGCGTGAGAGATCCCCAGAGTTTTTAACTAGACTGATTGTTAGAGGCCTTCCCTTATACAGAGCAAATTTATACTGACTAGGAGAAGTGACAGTTTTTACAGATACCTAAATCTCAACATGAGATCATAAGGCATAAAAAGAAATAGAGAAACATGGCCAATCAAAGAAACACAATAAATCTCCAGAAGCAAGTCCTAAAAAAAACAGATATCTATGAATTACTGGTCAAAGAACTCAAAATAACCATCTTAAAGATGATCAATGAGCTAAAACACACACACACACACAAAGCCAACTAAATGAAGTCAGGAAAACAAGGCATGAATAAAATAAGAATATTAAAAAAGATATAGAAACTATTAGTTTAAAAAAAAGATTAAAAAGAACTTAAATAAATAATCAGTGAACTTAACAAAAATGAGTCAGAAGAGCAAAAAGACAAAAGTATGAAGAAAAGCAAAAAAAGCCTAAGGGATTCATGAGAGATATTCAAAAACAATATAGAAGTCTCAGAAGAATAGAAAAAAAAAAAAGGAGAGAGGTTATTTGAAAAAAGAACAGCTGAAAACTTCCCAAATCTTAGGAGAGTAATAAAAAGACAAATTCAAGGGCAGCCCCGGTGGTGCAGTGGTTTAGTGCCACCTGCAGCCCGGGTGTGATCCTGGAGACCTGGGATTGAGTCCCGCGTCAGGCTCCTTGCATGGAGCCTGCTTCTCCCTCTGCCTGTGTCTCTGCCTGTGTCTCTGCCCCTCTCTCTCTCTCTCTCTCTCTCTCTCTCTCTCTCATGAATAAATAAATAAAATCTTTAAAAAAAAAGACAAATTCAAGAATCTCAACAAATTCTCACTAAAATAAACTCAAAGAGGTATGCCTGGGTGACTCAGTTAGGCATCCAATTCTTGCTGTCAGCTCAGGTCCTGATCTCATGGATTGTGAGATCAAGCCCCCATATCAGACTCTGTGCTCAGTGGGGAGTCAGCTTAAGATTCTCTTCCTCTGTCCTTCCACCCACTTGTGCTCTCTTTTTCTAAAAAATAAATAAATACGTTTTAAAATAAAATAAAATAGACTCAAGGAGATCTACACCAATACACATTTTGATCAAGCTATAAAAAGTCACAAAGGGAGAATTTTGACAGTAGAAAGAGAAAAGTAACTCATTACATACCAGAAAAAGTATTATAAGACTATCAGGGATTTTCTCAGCAGAAAGCTTGCAGGTCCGAAGACAGGGATAATAAACACACACACACACACATTCAGGTGATATATTTCAGAAAGTCAGAAAATAAAAAACTGCCAACAACAACAACAAAAAAATGTATCTTGCATCTGGGAAGATGGAACAGTAGAAAGCACCAGGAATTTGTTGCCCCCACTGGACAATTGCCCTTGCAAAATGTCTCTAATATAACCATTTTGGAATTCTGGAGTCCATTAAAGACCTGCAACTTAAGGGAAATGGTTGAACTGTAAATTGCATTAATTTTGGCCTATTTCAGCTCTTGGTACAGTAGCAGCTGCCCCCAGCACCATGACAAGCAACTGTACACATGTTCCTG